TGAACATTAGCGGTGTAACTCTTCAGTGATGCACACGTATGCTTCTACTGACAGCACGTAGAAAACGCTTGCATTAGCCATGGTTTCTCGGAGGTGGTCGCGGAGGTGAGGTTTTAGTCCTCCATTGAGCTTCAATCCCGTGATCTGCAATTTTAACTCAAAGCTCGAGGTGTGGGTACCCCCGTAGCACCATTCGTAGTCGGTTCGAGTCAAGTGCCTTGTTAGGTCTTCTATCATCATTTTTTCACCTCGTTCAAACTGGGTAGCTTCTCCTAGACTCCAATTTTGAGTCTGAATTATTCGAGATAATGATTCGCAGGCAGTCTGTAAATCTTAAGCTGCGAGTTTCCATGATATTGGGAGAGAGAATGAATCCCTTCTTACGATGTAAAGCTGATATTTTTGCACTCATACCGAAGAAGTTTCTCTTCCTTTCCCGGATGTCTCCCTCGGCCGATTTTTTTTAAACGATTGCCGTCACACCACCGAGTCAGACGATACCAACTCGTTTGTGTTGAATTTGATGGATTGCAAAGCCTCGATTTACGCTTACACGCTACACCCAATGCCAGGTTTTCACTTGTAGTTGATACATCGTCACGTACCCCGTATTGGGGGCTGTCTGCGCAAATCATGCTCTTTGCATCCACAATATAAGATGATGTACATCCAAAACTGAACTGCCCCGCCCTAGCGAGCAGAAACCCCTTGTTGTTTTCATAGGGACACTGTGGTGCTTAATACTGTACTAAAGAAAGCCGCGCCGGGATTCTTGCACTGGTGAGTCAAAGTTCTTTATACCCGTCTTGCAGTCCTCCGAAGCGCCTGTTAATGACCAACTTAACATCGTCAGATAGTGTCTGAGGAACGAAGTGGCCACGTTTATTCGGACAACTACCGTAGCCATTGGAATCATATCCGGCCTTTGACAGATACCGCATGCACCAACTCCGAGTGTTGCCGGAGGTCGGATAGATCTGCGCTGACAATTTACCCAATACGTTCCTAGGTATCCGACCCAGACACTTCTTATTCTCGCCGTGGTGCTTTGGCGCTGGGCCAACAGCCCTTTATGCTAGTCTGAATGCATATTTGCCACTGTCTTGTTGAACGTCAAATCAGCTACCTGTCGATGCACTTTCATGAACAGCAAGTCTTTAGTAGTCTGTCGTCGGTAGAACTGCGGTTTACTACTTGTGGTAAGTCATTTGCTGCTTCTGGAGCACCACGAAATTCCTCGAGGAGATCGTTCATCCAGTACAAAAGGTAGAGAGGTCCTTGGAACGCCAGCCGACTTGCTTCAGTGTTTCTTCGACGAACTCACTGATGCGCTCCACTAGAGTGATCAGTTCTACACAATCGTATTCTTGACTATATGAAAAGAAAACTCTCACCGAGTCTACCACATCTTCGATACTAGATGCCGGGGTTGCAAGTTCAAATGCTACTGTAGACGAGAATTTATCGAAGTTTGATCCACCTGATTCCAGCCATTTTATCCGGTCTGAAAGCGATAGTCAAGCGAAATGACCTGCTGGATCCAAATTAAATATTATACAACCGAGTGCAGACAGCGGGTAGCTCTTTGGGTTTCACGTGCTCATACCGAATCATACTTTTCACAAAAAAAAAAGCGGCTTACCTTTGTGTTTTGCTGACGTCACTCTTTCGTGTACGACTTGTTGATACTTGTGTGGAGCAAATGCGTCCTTTGTGGAACCAAGACTTCTTCAATGACGTTGCCATCGCTACTTTATCCACGGTTGCTCAACGTCTACTGCCGTGCTCACATCGGTATTTGAACTCTGACGAATGCTCAGAAAGCGATCTAGCACTTCTGGGTCATCTCAGTGCTTTTCCACTATCGGTGCATCTTGGTCCATTGCAGAGCGTCGCCGCGTTTAAAATCGATTTGATCTTTGCTAGCAGCTGTTTCGGCTCGTTGGTACTTCCTATCTTGCGGTCTGGAAGGTTAGTGGGCAGCTAAGTGAGACTCATTTTCACCGTCGTCCTGCCCGAAGTTATCGTCATTCTAAAGCGGGTCAAACAGGGCCTGTACTCCAGCTACTGATTCTTGCTTTTTGGTTGTTATGTCGAGCGGATTCGCGTAGCCTGGGTGGGATACAAAAGGATTCCCCGACTGGTTGCACGTCTTCATCCACGTAATAGGCGAAATCAATGGCGTGTTGCAGCTAAAATTTCATTTGACGTCCTGTTTTTGGGTCAGTCTACCGACAAAGCTTCAATTTCTTCGTATAGCCGAGTCGCAATGCCGACGACGAGACGCGGTCGGAGATCTCACTGATGGTGTGGCTTTGGCTCGTAGTCGTGTTGACAGTGGGGTTGCTAGCGCAGAGTATAACGACAACCGATACGAGGATGCGCATGATTGGTAGGTTTAAGAACCCAGCACTCAAGAAGCGAGAGCCTTTAAGTGCGAAATGAGCTAAGACAAAGCTAAGCTTTGGTGGGGACAGGACTGATTGTGTTAAACAACCACTGATTATGAGTGCAGATTACATAGCACGGAGCAAACACTGTTGGAAAACACTACATTTACAAGAAATGTTTCGAGGGAAGTTGGTGATCACCGTGTTTGTGAAAGTTCTAAGAATGTTAACCAGGTTATGCTTGAACCTTTTCAACTACAAAAAACCAAATTGATGAGAGTTCCGACGGTGGTGGAGACTAAACGTAGGCCAAGGAGGTTGCACTAATATCTATGGCCGGGGTTTACATGCCAAGCTACCCAACAGGAAAAAACCTGTGCCATTTTAAGAAGACAAAAAAAAAAACACATGCCAAACTTGCTCCATATGTATTGTGAAAAAATTGAACGTACGGTCAACAGCTAGTTTAGTGTATTTTGAAAATGCGCCGTAGAAGAAATGCTCTAGTTCGACGAATAGTTGGTCTATTGTAAACCAATCGCTATTTTGTGAATTTGACAACCCTCTTGGTCCTTTATACTTTCATTTGGTGATGTAAAGGCGGATTTTCAGTTTTCTGATATAAGGGTCCAAAATCCACGTCTAGTAGTTTAGTGCAGCTAAACATATAGGA